TTTACCTATCTAGATGACAAGGCAAGGGTGAGCTTCCCATATATAGTTTCACCCTTACAAATCAGTTTAGTGTGGAGTGCTGTGTGCCTCCTCCTTTCTAGCAGCTACCAGTGGAAGCCTATCAACTCTCCAATTAATGCCTTTGTGTATTTAAAATTCTTGTCAACCGTTTAAAAACACAACTGTATAAATGAATAGGATCCTACCCTGTATTTCTTATCAGGTCACAAATAGAAAATGCCCCACGCACATGGCATTAAGGGAACGGGCCGGATAAAACTGCAAGGCGGGATGGATGTGGCCCGCAGGCTGTAGTTTGGAGACCCCTGTTCTGGGTGATGATTCTGAATACTTTATTAGGAAGAGGCAGCTCAGTGATTTAGGTCTCTGACTGTTGACACAGAGTTTGGAAGTTCAGTTCCCCACTGTGCCCCCCTGATGCATAGGATCCCTTCCATCTCTACAGTTCCAAGATGATGATGACGATTCTTGCTGATAACATTTGTGAACTCTCATTCTGAATTAATTACAGGACAAGGCAATGATCTTCAGCTACATTCTTAGATTACTTTAAATTTTGTATTATTCATTTAGCAAACCTTTCTTTATGTGTCCCTAGGCAACAGTCTCCAAGTGTCAAAACATTGTAAAGCGTGTTTGGTAACCAACTATGGGAGAGGGCCTTTTCTGTCACTGCTCTCAGATTTTGGAATTCCCTCCCACGGGAGGCCAGGCTGGCCCCACCTTTCCGCAAGCAGATAAAGACCTTTCTTTGCAGACAGGCTTTTCTTTACTGGCTGGTCTTCAGGGGTTTGGTTGCTTTTGGGGTCCCCCCCCATTTCCAATGGTCTTGCATGCTTCCCTTGCTTTTTTCTTTGTTCTCTTTGCATTTCCAACCGGGTCCCTTTGTTTTCTGTGCATTTCCAATCTGCTGCGTTCATTTTCTCTGCATTTTCGACCTAGTCCCTTTGTTCTCTTTGCATTTCTGGTCTGCTCCATTTGTTTTCTGTGCATTTCCGACCTGGTTCCTTTGTCTTCTGTGCATTTCCGACCTGATCCCTTTGTTCTCTGTGCATTTCTGATCTGCTCCGTTTGTTCTGTCCAGTTCTGATGGGTCTTGCACACTTGATTACTTTTCTTTTTCTTTTCCCCCTTCGGCTTGAAGGGATTAATCACATTTCCAATGAGTCTTGCAGTGATCTTTTCTTTTTCTGTGTGATTTTTTTCCTTCAGCTGGAATAGATTAATTGCATTCCTATGGGAAATGGTGCTTCGACTTATGACCATTTCGAGTTACATCCATCTTCTGGAATGGATTATGTTTGTTAAGTAGAGGCACCACTATATAACTGACATTTCGGAGGTAATGCTATACAATGTTGAAAGTGGTTTTGACAGAACATGGTGGAGCTGTAGTCAAAAAAGTACCTTCTCCAACTTCTGGATATGTCACATTTTCCATTGTAAGGGAAATACTGTTGTGGTCCTGACCATTCTTCATTACACAGAATGCTGAGAAATAGGTCCAGATGCATCATAGCTGTTGCAGGACTTGCTTCTCCTCCAGTGAGTTTTGACTTAAACTTTGAGTTTCCTAAGTGTCCTAGATAGCTGGATAACCCTAAATATTGGTGTGCTTTTTCTGGTTAGATTCATCTACCTTCTGGAGGGTACTTCCGTTGCTTTGGTGTCATCAGGATGAAGTCATTAAGTCTTTGGCCCTTTGTTGTTGTAGTTCAATGTAGCCTCCACAGAGGAAAGCATAACAAACTTCTCTGTCCCACTTTGAAGGCCATTCACATGATATATTGGGCAGTTGTTGGCTGATATAAGCCAATCAATCACAGTCTTCCCCCCCACCTATTGTAAGAGCTCATAAAGAGGCATTCACACAATCATTTTATCATATATATTTAAATATGTATATGCTTAAATTACTATGCTTTCTTATTCTGTTATTATTGTTGCATTGTGAGTGCCTAGTAATAAAATAAGAGGCAAATGTAACACTAGCAAGGGCTCAGATCTGCCAATCCAGTGTACTATAGTTTCTGCTGTTGTGAATGTTTATTTATTCATGCATTTGTTCATTCATTCTATAACAGACTCAGTGTGGTTTGCAATATTTCAAAAAGGCACATAAAATATAATAAACAATTAAGACGATGAAACAAGAATCAAAGGCCAAAATCCTGTTTGCATAGCTTTATGCAATGGGAGTTGATGTTGGCAACAGCTGCTGGGACAATTTGATTTATATTAATTAAATGCTTCTTTTCCTCCCCAGTTTTAGGTTTCAGGGCTCCCGAGGACTCCCTTTCACCCTAGGGAAGTCCTTGGCAGCTTTTGGGATTCCAGGGTGGCTGGGATTGTTTAATTGCTGGAATCAGCACTCTTGGCAATGACTAGTCTCTCTCACACACACACCATCTGAGGGCTTCTCCAGGGCAAAAGGAAGCCCTAGGGAGCCTCAGAATCTAAAACAAGGGGATAAAAAGCATTTAAACCATTAATTAAATAATTAGATTAAATTATTTAAATGCTTCTTATCCCCTCATTTTAGGTCTTGAGGCTCCCTTTTGCCCTGGAGGAGCCTTGGGATGGGGGGGAGGGGTGGCGGCGTTGAAACTTTGTAGCATGTAGAACTCAGTGGTCCCCAACCTTGGGCCTCCAGATGTTCTTGGACTTCATCTCCCAGAAATCCTGGTGCCATTATCCACAATGACTTGGAAATGAGCAAGCTGGCAGCAAAGTGGATCCCCAGACTTTTGACAACTGAACAAAAGAGGAAATGTGTAGAATCAACAGTGGCTGTTTTGAAATATTTTGCAAGAAATGAGTCAGATTTCCTGGGCAAACTGGTACCTGGTGATGAGACATGGACCTAATGTTATGATCCTGAGACAAGGGAACAGTCCACTGTTATGATCCTGAGACAAGGGAACAGTACAAGGAATGGAGGCACAGTAGTTCCCCCAGGCTAAAGAAGTTCCGAGTGCAAAGGTCGGTGCAGAAGCAAATGGCAACAGTTGGTGGTTTTTTTGGATAGGAAGGGAGTTCTGTTGGTGGATTACCTCCAACAGGGTTCAACCATCAATGCAAAACATTACTGTGCTTTATTGACGAAGTTGAGGCAAAACATCAAGGAAAAATGTCGAGGAAAGCTCTCCATAGGTGTCATCCTGTTGCATGACAACACCTCGTCACACACTGCAGGTGAAAAAATGGCAAAACTGACCTCCTTAGGCTTTCAAGTGATGCCCCATCCACCCTATTCTCCCAACCTGGCTCCTTCTGACTACTATCTGTTCCCCAAACTCAAAAACACCTAAAGGGACAATGATTTGGGAGTGTTCAGGAGGCAACTAATGCTGCAAATGAGTGGTTATACCAGCAGTCAGAAGAATTTTATTTGCAGGGGCTTAAGAAGCTGTAGGACAGATGTTACAAGTGCATTGACTTCCTGGGGGAATTAGAATAGTGTGGCAATTACAGCTTCCTAGCTCAATTTTTTTCTGGGAAAGGCTCAATACTTATCAGCACCCCCTTGTACATGTCTGATGGACTATATATTGGCCAAAGCTTGGAAAAATTGCTTTTGGACTACCAACCCATAAAATGCTACCATGGACAACAACTCTTTCAAAACCTAGCCTCCAAAATGATTTATCCAGGCCCTAACCAAGGCCTCTGTCTCCTCTAATTTCACCACAGATCACTGCCTAGCAATATATGTTTTTGTGCCCAGGCTTCATTGCCCTAAAAGCTAAGTGCATTTAATTTAAAATCTTACATATTTACGTAAACGTTAAGTTGAATGAGATTGCCACTGTGTACTGACTGAATGGAGGAATGCCTGCATCTGAGCATGTGCAGGCTTTGTGCCAATCATGTTTTTTGTCTCCTGTCTGGGAACAAGGTCTGGAAGTTATAGACATTTCTGGGGCAGGTATATTTGCGGACTTCCTGCAGCAAACACAGACAGGTTGGTTTGCCTCCCCTAACACAGCAAATTCATATGCTCTCTAAATTTTGGAAAGCTGGGTCTAAGCTCCAGTTGCCCAACCCTAGTTACAGCTCCATGTCCCTATGCAGACTTTTCCACAGATAGTAACAAACTTACCATGGCTAGCAGCTTTGCTGATTGGAGAACCATGAATTCTGCTCTGACTTATGACTTTATTATCGTATCCTTATCTCCGGATACAAATCTTTCCAAGGTGGCTTGCCACAAAACCTACAACCACGAACCATTCTTATTTACACATCTGGCTTCGGAGACAGATGTGAAAGTCTGGCTGGGGTCACACTAGCAATTTGAATCAATTCAGACTTTTAAAAATCACGTTCAAATCACGTGGTATCTAAACCAGCGTCTACGTTCACATCCCCTGTATGGAATCAATGTATTTCTCGTGAGTTAAACCGTTTTTGGTGTCTCCTCATTTCCATAAAACTGTAATGAACTGAATCATTTTGAAGAAGTTAAGTATTTTAAAAAGCCCCTCCCGGACAGTTAAAATTTTTTTTTAAAAAAAATCACCTCACTTTGCAGCCATATAAATCATTTCACCCCTTGCGTTGATCTAAAACAATTTAAATGATGCTTAAATGCAGCTCTTATTGCCTGAGTCTTAATGCCAGGTTTAGCCGTGAGTAACTGGTCTTTATCGGGTTTCCTCCCGAGTAAAAGGTTCGAGCGGTCAAGGTGTCTCTCTTTTCGCACCGAAGAAAAAACACCTCAATTAAAAACAAGACCACCACCGCGCACACACACACACAAGACAGCGTATGAAACCGTCACACGCTGAGGCACCCGGTGGCTCTAGGACCCAGCGGGCTCCCGGCGCGCTTTTTCCGGGGAGCCGGTGGTGGCGGCGGCGGCTCCGGCGG